TTAAAATTATATTCTGACCGAATCAGTTGGAAACAAGGTCAAACAGTCAAACCGAATTGGTCGCTAATAGCTTCGCGTTATTTTTCACCAAATTTTGCGACGGACATGGACGGAATATCTGTCGTAATTATTATTAAATATTGAAAAAATATATTTTTATGCTATTTCCGACCAATTCCGTCAGAAATTTTCGACTACTTTTTCTGGTCGGAATATTTTGGTCGGAAATTGGCCCTTTTTAGTAGTGATACAAAGAATTTAGTCACATATAACCAAGCAATTATATTCTTAATTGTTAAATATATAAGATAAGATATAATTAAATAATTATTACAATTTTTTTAAAAAGACTGTTCCAACGTTATATAATTGACAAACTAAAGAATAAATTGTATAGCGTGAAGCATTCGTGAGAACTGGAATGTAAGAGACAAATAGTCATGCGCATAGAAGTGTACATTGGAGAACGTCTCATCTATTGATATGTAAGCTATACAAGACTTCTATCACCTTATGATTGTCCTGAGAAGTGTAAAGGTTGTTCATTTTGAGGTTAATTTAAACGGCAAAGGGCCAAATATACACCTTTTAATCGTTTGACACCTATTTGAGAGAATAGAATATTCAGAAAGAGAATTGTATAAGTTTAGAATTGATATCACAAATCATTCAAATTAACAAGATAAAAACTAACTACTTCTGGTGTCTACAACAACAACAACTACAACAACCCAGTATAATCGTGGGATCAGAGGAGAGTAATATGTACGAATACCTTACCCCTACCCTTGGGTAGAGAGACTATTTTCGATAGACCCTTGGCTCTCTCCCTTCAACAACTCTCCAACTTGCTCTTGGGTGACTCGAACTCACAACTTCTTGGTTGGAAGTGGTAGAGCAAACCGCTCTTGGGATTGATTATTAAATTGAGATATAATAACAATAACAACAACCCAGTATAATCCCACTAGTGGGGTCTGTGGGAGGGTAGTATGTACGCAGACCTTACCCCTACCTTGGGGTAGAGAGGCTGTTTCCAATATACCCTCGGCATCCTTATATATATTTTTATACATTTAATTTAATGATAATAATATATACTATATTTATTGATATAAACATCAAAGTCGAATAACAATTAGCGAAAAAGGTGAGGAAAAAAATAAAGAAAAAGAAAGGAAGAGTGAGGGGGGTGGGTGTGAAGAGGGGCTATATTAGATCTTGTTGCCGCATTGTCTTCTCTGCGCCAGCCAAGCCCTATAGTTCAGTATTATTTTTATTTTTCTTGTATTTTTTTCTTTTATATTTTCTTTCTAATTTTGCCCAATAATTCCGAGTTTTGATCTATCCTTAGGACCTTCTTTTTATATGAGTTGGTAGGGTTAGAAAAAGGTGTGGATCCATCCTTGAAACATCAAATCTCAAAAATTAGGGTTTCCCACCTTTGTTCATCGCGCCAGTTCCCCACCTATTATACATCTATACATACATATATTTCTCTATTTGTGATTTGTAGATCTTTTGATTTTTTGTTTTATCATTGTTTGATCCTTTTAATGTCACAAATCGGTCAAGGCAATTGTGCGTAATTTTTTTGTAATCGGTCAATTGTCGGTTTGTTTAATTTGGGGACTTTTTGATCAATTTCGTTTTTATCATATTCGGCGCTGGGTTGGGTTTCTCCTTGATATTATAATATTGTTAGGGCTTTTATTTGATTTAATATGGATAAAAAGAAGGCAGTGGCACCGCTTGTATGCCATGGGCATTCTCGGCCCGTCGTTGATCTGTTCTACAGCCCAATCACTCCTGATGGATTCTTCCTAATCAGTGCCAGCAAGGGTAATTCTTTTGATAATTTTATGCCTTTTGGTAGTTGTGGTAACTGGTAACATATTGTAGCATTGAGTGAATTTGACATAAGTGCGTTACATTGTCTTGATCAAACATTTTTCGGACAATCATGAATGAGCCGTTTGATTCTAAAGTGTGGTTACATATACTAGTATATTATATAGTATGTTTGTTGCCTTTCGTGTGTGTGTGTGTGTATGTGGGGGTGTTTTGGACCTAATAGAGTAGTATCAAATTTAGGTGTTTTTGGTTAACTCTAATTCATGTGTTTGCTTAGAGATTAGGAGAAATACCAAGAAGCAGGAATCTAAGAAAAGCCCAAAAGAGATTATTATTCAATCTAAAGGAATTTCTATCGTCTTAGAATTCAGAAGGAAAATTTCGAAAATGTTTTGTCTGTTATCAAGTCTAAGTGGTTGCTTTGAAATGCAAACTTGATTTACTTGCAGATGTTGTCAAACTCTCGAAATATAAACCTTAATGCTTTTATCGGCATTCAATTCTATCAAAAAATTACTCAGTGCGACGGTACTAAGGTAGGTGCGGGCATGGCATACATTATCATCTTAAGTATGTATGGCTAGTGTTTATACCAAATCTTCTAATTGTTGATGAATAGAATGATGGGTATTCTGCAGCGCATGGTATTACGTGTTGTCAATAGCCTTTGGATTTTATTCCTAGTAATTGTCAGTGATCAGGCAAACCATTTTGTGTATGCCTACTTTTTCCACTTTATTTGTGAGCAGAATGGTAGGTGAACCCGCATCTGATTTCTCAATAGCCTCAGATTTTTCATGACCAGTCTCAGGAGTTCAACCAAAAGCACAAAAAAAAAATCAACTAAGATATTCTTGTTACATTCTAACCGAAAAAGATTTTTTCCTGTTGCTCTTTTTCGTGATTTTGTCTAATATATGTTCATTCACTGCAATAATTATTCGTGCCGTGATTATTTGTTTTAACTTCTGAAATATTCCGGTCATGTAGATTCTACGCCAATGTTGAGAAATGGAGAAACTGGGGATTGGATTGGAACATTTGAAGGGCATAAAGGAGCTGTGTGGAGTTGTTGTCTGGATAAACATGCTCTCCGTGCTGCATCTGCATCTGCCGATTTCAGCGCGTATGTTATCTAGCGGCGTCATTTCATACTTTGGAATAACCATTTAAGCGACCATATTTATACGCTGACATCTGTCATTATAGAAGTGATGTAGAACAATAGAAGTGCTATTGTAGCATGTGTATTACTGGCCAACCTAGCATGTCATTAGTTAAAACAGGTTTAATAGCTAATCTAATAGCAGACACAGTAGAATCTTGCTCATCCTTTTTTAGAATTTTCCTTTGCTATATATATTATCCTTTTGTTTCTGTATGGTGTTTTATATTGGTTGTTTTCAGGAAATTGTGGGATGCATTGACTGGAGATGTTTTACATTCATTTGACCACAAGCACATAGTTCGAGCATGTGCCTTTTCAGAGGTACCATTACAATCATTTTTCCTTTATTGTATTATAGTTCCTTCAGGTTAGAGATTAGAACTTCACTTAAGTCATAGTAACCAAGTTGTGACAATGGAAACTCTGCTTATTTATTAGTTTAGAATGTTTGTGTTTGTGAGGGAACTCGCTGGCACTATGGGATTGCAGATGTAATGTCGCCTCAAAGGATTGAGCTATGAAGCCTGTGACTGTCTCCTGTATTAAGATATGGATTTTTAACAAAATACTGTGAATGTAACAGATATCCTTATAGAAACCCAATTTTAGTTGAACGATTACATTAAATCCCATGTTCCAGTTGTAGTCCTATCCTTCTCAGGTTTTCTCATTTGTGGTAATGCTCGTAAACTCACAATTGACTCCAAAATCGTTGTTGATTGTTTCAACGAAAATAAAGAAGCCCCTAAAATTACCCGTACTAGATCAACTTAGGGGTTTGATAGAACATCTCATTTTAAGATTAGTGTATGTGCTAACTTGCGCAGGGGCGGAGCTATGAAGCCTGTGACTGTCTCCTGTATTAAGATATGAATTTTTAACAAAATACTGTGAATGTAACAGATATCCTTATAGAAACCCAATTTTAGTTGAACAATTACATTAAATCCCATGTTCCAGTTGTAGTCCTATCCTTCTCAGTTTTTTTCATTTGTGGTAATTCTCGTAAACTCACAATTGACTCCAAAATCGTTGTTGATTGTTTCAACGAAAATAAAGAAGCCCCTAAAATTACCCGTACTAGATCAACTTGAGGGTTTGATAGAACATCTCATTTCAAAATTAGTGTCTGTTGTCACTGACCTATTAGTTTGGGAAGGGGTTTTGATTGATCAAAAGAAGAATCTACTTCAACCGATATGCCCTTAGGCACGGCCATACATAACATAGAAATCACACTTGGAAAGGGTGAACAATTAGCTAGAGCAGCGGGTGCTGTAGCGAAACTGATTGCAAAAGAGGGGAAATCGGCCACATTAAAATTACCTTCTGGAGAGGTCCGTTTGATATCCAAAAACTGCTCAGCAACACTATTGTTTATTTTTCTTCTTCTCGAACCGAGGGTCTTTCGAAAACAGCCTCTCTACCCCTCTGGGGTAGGGGTAAGGTCTGTGTACACTCTACCCTCCCCAGACCCCACTTGTGGGATTATACTGGGTTGTTGTTGTTGTTGTTGTTGATGTTGTCTGTGCTAACTTGCGTAGGGGCGGATCTACCTTTCCCCAAGCAGTGTCACGTGACACCACTTGGTCGAATTTTTTTTACTAAATAAGTATATATAATTAAAATCCAACAACGGACAATAGTATAATTTAATAAAGTGACACCACTTGACAAAAAACAGTTGTGTAGCTCAACCGGTCAGGTGCTTCAATTTTCTTGAAGATGTCACTAGTTCGAATCCTGGTAGCTTCATTTTTGTTTTAAATTTTGTGTGCCTCATCTAGAGATAAAAAGTATGTCGAGGTTTAAACCATTGACCTTAAAGCATTAATATTACACTAAACCAATAGATCAAGAGTCACATTTGCATATTTTATGGAGCAATAATTATCTGACTTATATTATAAGTTGGGCTATTTTCCTCTTTCATCTTCTTTCTCAGCTTTGAAAAGTTGATTAAGAACAATTTACAGAATCGAATGAAGGGTAGGTTTTTGTGTGATTACTACTTGGTGTTCTATATATAAAAAAGTATTTGGTATTATTTCTAATGAGGTTATGTTGGGTACATTCCAAAAAATAAAAATTCATATCTATTAATATAATTGAGTTATGTTTAATAAAAATAATTTGAATTATATTTTTTAAGTATACTGTTATAGTGAATTATTATTTGTTTATTGTTTAAAATTGTGACACAGTTTATGAAAAATCCTGCGTACTCCACTGAACTTGCGTGCACCTCGACTATTAAACCGGGAATTTTTTACCTCCCACTAATAATTCTTTCAACCAAGGCTTGGACATATTGCTAGAAATCACTTGTCATCTTTAGCCTCTGCTAGGATATAAATCTTGGTCTCCAATGGATTTCATCCCTCATTGATCGCTAGGCCACATCCTTGGGTGCTAATAGAAAACCTCCTTATTTTAGCCTAAGAAAAATAAAAAGCAGTGAATGCCAAATTCAATTACTGTTGAGTCATGAGACGCTGCTTCCATTGGATTACAAAGTTTTATTGCAGTGTTAAAAGAATATACATTGTCTAAGGTTCTGAGTATTCTTCTGTATTCAATCTCTTGTGTTTTGATAGTTTATTTGAACTACTATTGTGTCATGACTTTGTAGGATACACATCTGTTACTCACTGGTGGTTTTGAAAAAATTCTTCGGATATATGATCTAAACCGACTCGATGCACCTCCAAGGGAAATTGACAGCTCTCCTGGTTCAGTTAGGACAGTTGCTTGGTTACACAGTGATCAAACTTTATTGAGTTCCTCCGGTGATGCAGGTGGATTGAGGTAGACCTGCTGAGTTTGATAACTCTGGTTGTACTGTTTTGTTCATTTCATTCTTCTTCTGGTTGTATTATTCACGTGGCCAGTGTTCACGATTACTTAAAGTTATCGAGTAACTCTTCATGCCTTGTTAAATCTAGCGTTGCATTGATCAAAGCTCAAATGCTTAATAGATTGGATGCCATTTTGTTAGCCTGTAGGTCTCTTGGATTTGTATCTTGGCTTATTGCAAAATTATCGGATAGCTATAAAGGCCACACATATGGTTCATATTTCTGTCATGAACTTTCTCTTTCCCTGTGTACGAGTCCCTGGGCTGCAAGGGAATGCTAATTTCTTTCCCAACTTTCCTGCATCACTCTGTTCACTATCTTAATTTTGATTGAATTCATGTAACCTAGGTTATGGGATGTGAGGAGTGGCAAAGTTGTTCAAACCCTTGAAACCAAGTTTCCTGTAACGAGTGCTGAAGTAAGTCAGGATGGTCGATACATAACAACAGCTGATGGTTCCTCTGTCAAGTTTTGGGATGCTAACCAGTGAGTATTATCTTTCATTCTTACTGACAAAAAAAAAGATGTAAATACGGAATTTTTCCATGGCTTACATTGCTTTTTAATCTTTTTTTCTAAAACAGCTTTGGATTGGTGAAGAGCTATGACCTGCCCTGCAAAGTTGAATCTGCTTCATTGGAACCAAAGTTTGGTAATAGGTTCATTGCTGGAGGAGAAGATATGTGGGTTCATGTCTTTGATTTTCACACTGGAGAGGAAATTGGTAGGTGCTGTGGGTTCGTAAATGTTTAGAAATTTAGTTGCTTTGTAGTCCTGTTTATATATGCTCTGATCATTGTCTTTGTTTATGTGTTCCCTTTTACCAGTGATTTTTCCAGAATTTGCTTGTTCTTAACTTAACTAGGGGTTTATGCTTTTTCTTATACGTAGTTGGTTCAAGCTTTAACCATATTCTATATCCTATTTTTCTACAACATAGGATGCAACAAGGGACACCATGGTCCTGTGCACTGTTTGCGGTTCTCTCCAGGAGGTGAATCCTATGCCTCAGGATCTGAAGATGGGACTATCAGAATATGGCAGCTTGGGCCACTTGGTCAGAATGAGGACAACTCCACAGCAAACGGGTCTATTGCAAATGCCAAGGATGACATGGGTGAGGTGACCCAAAAGATTGAGGAGTTGGATGTTTCAGAAACAAAGAAGACTGAAGAGACGCAGATTGATGGTGCGGTGGAGAAGGCTGCTGATGCCTGATTAGGAATTTAAGGGTTTTGTATGGTTTTGCCTCTTGGAAAGCTGTGACTGGCTTGACTTCTGAGGTTTTTGCTTATGAAATATAATTAAGCTTTTAAAAAGTGCTACGTATTGTTTGCTTGGCTGTGTGTTCACCTAATGGTTTATTATCTTTGGTGTGGTTCTCTCTGCAGTTCTCTTCTCAGGTTTCTGTCGTCCTTGGACTTGAAATTGCTTTTAGAAACAGGTAGGAGGTCCGAGCCAGAATATCCAGACCTAGTACATTAATAAGAAAAAGTAACACTGACAAGGCTATAACTCAAGGACATTATAAGCTTTAAAAATGCAGCGTTGTGTCTGTTTGTTTCAGTGAGCGACAGATTTGATACGTAATGATTTATCTTCGTGCATTGCTTGGATTTGAGATTCAACTATCTTTGGTAAAGAAACGTTCTCTGCTAAATAGTGTAATTATTCTCTTACTGGCCACCCTCGTCTGTTTGTTTGGGGAAGAGGGGTTGGGAATCCGTACTTTTGTAACCTAGGTTGGGGAGCTTTTAAGGGGGGTTGGTTTTTTCTAATGTCAATTGGGTTTGGTCAGGGTAATTTATTTGTCAAAAATGATAATTTAGAAAATTAAGTGGAAGTTGAACGATTTTGTGGTTAGAAAAATAAGTTTGATCATTTTCCTCTAATTGTACTATAAGTTGAGCGATATTCTGTGTTGATGTAATTAACCCTGTTTAGGGGAATGAGGATAAACTTTTAAGTTTGATACACTGTCAAATAGTTAAAAATGTCTCTTTTACTTTAAAATGTCTAAATACAGTGATAAATATCTGCAATGCAGCATATGTCTAACTGTAGACGAAATCAAATTGCTAGAATGCACATCACAGAATAGTGCAAAGAGCTTCCTGCGAGATAAAAAAAAATATAAGCAATTTAATAAAACATGAACAAGAAATAGAGATAGAGAGAATGAAGATATTTTTTTTCTTCAATTGTGTGTATTTTCCTAATGCCTCTATATAGGCATGAAAAGTGAAGGAAAATATGTCATTGAATATGTCATTAAACATTTAAGATGGAGATCATGGAAGAAGATAATGGAGGAAGAGTAGACATCTACCATAATTTAATTTTCTTATAACACTCCCCCTTGGATGTCCATAGATAATGTACCTCGTTAAAACCTTATTAGGAAAAAACGCTATGGGAAAAAAATCCCAGTGAAGGAAAAAGAGTACACATGTTAAGAAATACGCCTTTTGGTTGCCTCGTTAAAAACCTTGCAAGGAAAACCCTGTGGACAAAACCTTATAAGGGAAAAAGAGTACAACATATATTAACTCCCCCTGATGAGAGCATCAATTCACATCCTTGAGCCTTCACATCCCACACTTGTACACTAGTTTCTTGAAGGTTGACGGCGGTAGAGATTGGTGAACAAATAAGCCATATTATTATTTGAACGAATCTGTTGCACATTGATATTACCATTCTTTTGAAGATCCTGTGTGAAAAATAACTTTGGTGAAATGTGCTTTGTCCTATCTCCTTTTATGAATCCTCCCTTCAATTGGGCTATGCATGCTGCATTGTCTTCATACAAAATTGTGGGTAGTTTGTTACACTTCAAACCACATTTGTCTCTAATAAGATGTATTATAGACCTCAATCATACACATTCTCGACTTGCTTCATGAATAACAATTATCTCAGCAATGATTAGATGACGTAGCCATGATTGATTGCTTAGTCGATCGCCAAGATATGGCAGTGCCTCCACATGTAAACATATAGCTTGTTTGAGATCAGCCTTGTGTGGATCAGATAAATACCCAGTATCTGCATAACCAACAAGATCGGGACTGCAATCATTGCCATAAAATAATCACATATCGGTAGTTCCTTTTACCGTAGTATGTGTTTGATTCCATTCCAATGTCTCCTTGTAGGAGCAGAGCTATATCTTGCTAAGACATTAATTGAAAACGTTATGTCAGGCCTTATAGTATTAGCAAGATACATTAGTGACCAATTGCACTAAGATATGGTACTTCAGGACCAAGAAACTCTTCATTATTTTCATGAGGTAGGACTGGATCTTATTTATATCGAGTGATCTCACAACCATCAGGGTACACAATGGATGTGTATTATCCATATAGAATCGCTTTAAAATCTTTTCAGTGTATGCTGATTGATGGACAAAAAATCCATTTTTCATATACTCAATTTGTAGACCAAGACAAAATTTTGTCTTTCCGAGATCTTTCATTTCAAATTATTTCTTAAACAGTCTACTGCTTTAGGAAGCTCCCCAGGAGTTCCAATGATATTTAAATCATCAACATACACGACGATTATAACAAATTCAGATCCAGATCTTTTTTTATAAAGATACAAGGACAAATTGAATCATTCTTATACCCTTCTTTCAACAGGTACTCACTCAGGCGATTATACCACATGTGTCATGATTGTTTCAATCCGTATAAGGATTTTTGAAGCTTTATTTAATAAATTTTTTGGAAACCTTAATATGCTTCAGAGCAATTTAAATCCTTCAATGATTTTCATTATACGCATATCAAGTTTTTCATATATTGCCAGATTAAAACCTGAAATGACTACATCCACCACAGGAGAACATGTCTCTATATAATCAATGCCAGGATATTTACAAATCTTCTTGTGATACAAGTTGTCTTTATGTCCATCGACTTGATTTTTTTTTCCGTACATGAACATATTTATACCTCCAATGGCTTTATACTTTCAGGTGTTGGGACTATCCGTTCAACTTCACATTTTTCAGGTGAAGTCAATTTTCATTACGTATTTTTCATTTGGCCAATCATTTATCTGTCCAAATTTGATGACAGATTTGAGCTCAAGATCCTTATCAATATTAATAATATTGAGCGCTACATTATGTCACGACCCAAAATCTATTAAAGGTCGTGATGGCGCCGGACTCCGTTATTAGGCAAGCTAAAAATAAATACTTAATTTGGTTCTCATTTTAATATTTTTGAAATCATATTTTCTTCAATTAAATAGTAAAAGATGAAATTTACAGTGTAAAAAAAATAATATTTTTAACAATTTCAATACAGGACAACCCCTAATCACCCCAAAATCCGGTGTCACAAGTGCATGAGCATCAACTAGGAATGTAAAATAAAATACAACATCTGTCCAGAATACAAATTGGACAGAAAAAAATATAAATACTCTGAAGAAGACTCTACTGGATGCGGATCATAGTATAGAGTGCAGCTCACCTAAATCCCCGCTATAACCGCGCCTCTGCTCTCACAAGGCCACTAGACATATATGTACCTGCACAACAATGTACAACAAGTATAGTATGAGTATGTAAATCAACGCGTACCCAGTAAGTATCCCACCTAACCTCGAAGAAATAGTGACGAGGGGTCGGCTCAGACACTTACTATGGGCTATACATAAAATACCAATGATATAATTTAACATGGATTACGTAGAACGACTGTAAGCTCAATATCATGAAATATCTAAACAATTCTTTTGTTAATAAGAAATTTTCAAATTTACTTTTCATCGTTTATCATTTTGTATCTCGGGCCAATGAAGCAATATCAATTATCATAAGTTCCAAAGCAAACAATTCAATCAGGCGCAAATCATGTCGAGGTCGTACGACCCGTTCCAACATAAATATTTAAACTGTGCATTGCCGAGGGTCGAACGACGCGAACCATAGATGCATCTATATGCTACCAAGGCGTTCGACCCGCTCCATAAAGAGAAAATACATTAAACAACCAATTCAAGATTTATTAAGAGGCGAATATTTAAAAATTTTCAAATTCCCATTTAACGGTCAAGTAAATAAAGTTTAACCTTTTTACAATTCCTTTATCGAGTTTCTAAATATTTTAAACAATTAATTTAACAAGTAGGGCACAACATCGCAAGTACAACATGATATGGATCCTAGACTACCCATACATAAGCATAATAGTAGCTACGCACGGACTCTCATCACCTCGTGCGTACGTAGCCCCCACAAATAGGAGCACATAATGATTTGATTCATCTATGAGGTTAATTCCCTCTTACAAGGTTAGAAAGGAGACTTACCTCACTGCGAAATTCCATAACCGGCTCCAAAGCCTCTCTAATAACTCAAACCGATGCTGTCGCTCCAAACTAGTCAATTAAGATGCAACCCAATCAATATGTACTCTAATACTCATAATTAATCGATTTATAATAAATTTCCAACTCCGCTCGAAAAATCGATAAAACAACCCTCGGGCCCACGTGCCCGGATTCCAAAAAATTTCAAAGATAAACTTTACACATAACCTCACGAACTCAAATATATAATTTATTCTCAATTCAATGCCCAAATTCGTGGTCAAAATCCAAAAATACCAAATTCTAGATTTTCTACCAAAACCCCGAATTTCCACAAATTTCCATGCTTGAATCTATGTATAAATCTTGTATTTAACTCACAATACGCGGGAATCACTTACCTTGACATAGATGATGAAAATCCCTCCTTGAAGCTCTCCAAAATCACCCCAACCAAGTGAAAAATGAGAGAAAAAGAACCAAATCCCGCTCTTAAAACGATTCTGCCCATCGATTTTTCGCACCTGCGGAACAGTAGCCGCACCTGCGGCGTCACTTCTGCCACCACGCCTCCGCTTCTGCGGAACTCACCCCAAACACTAGGCCTCGCACCTGCGGAAAGATCCCCCGCTTCTGCGACATCGCAGGTGCAAGCTTCCTTCCGCTCCTGCGCCTTCTTCCGCTTCTGCGCCCCACGCTTCGCTTCTGCGCTTGTGCAGATGCGGCCAAAACACCGCACCTGCGGTCCTTCCCCTGGCTGACTTACTCCGCTTCTGCGAGCCCTAGTCCTCTTCTGCGGCCTCGCACCTGCGGCCAAAACCTCGCAGGTGCGGTTACACCAAGTGACATCAGCTTCAGCATTTCATAAAGCCAAATTCGATCCGTTAACCATCTAGAATTCACCCGAGGTCCCCGGGACCTTAACCAATTATACCAACACGTCCCAAAACACATTACGAACTTAGTCAAGGCCTCAAATCATGCCAAACAACATTGAAAATACGAATCA